TGTATTCTAAAAAAAAAAACTAAATTAAATTAATTTGTAGTCACATTAAAAAAATATATAATTAAGGTCCAAAGTTGTTGCATGAGTCCAAGCTAAAAAAACATAAAGGAAGACACGGCAGGAGACACAAGTGGACATAACAAGACGCATCCCCTGCTGTCAACCAGGCGCGAATGCAGAATCTCCAGTTGTGAATCCGAGTGGCCCCAGTGCTTCACCGAATGTCAAGAATCAGACAAAATTAAGGATGCCAGTAAAGAAAATACATACGTTAAACCCTCTAAAATTAAATGTTTTTGTTTTTTTTAGCAAGGACACAAGTCGAACGAGTGTCCCAAAGACAGCAAGTGCAGTTGGCGGAAGCCGAAGAGGGAAGCGGTCCAGAGCAGTTGAATCAACTGATGATGAGGAAAGCTGAAGACGTTTATGCTGATGAAGAACCTGTAATGCGGTGTTAGAAAGGCTACTGTTGGCTCCAAGACAAAATCTAAACTCACAGCGACACGCCCTGTTTCGGACACGTTGCACAATCAATGGAAGGTGATGCGACCTTCTAGTAGATAATGGATGTACGGAAAAACGTGAATTTCACGATCAGTGGTTCAAAACTTACAATGAAGACCTTTAAGAATCCTAATCCCTATAAAATCAGCTGGGGTAAAGCGTGGAATAGAGATTTTTAGTGTCCAGATTCGTGCCGTGTCACTTTCTCTATAGGAAGCATACATTGTGTGAAGTGGTCTGTGATGTTGTCGAGATGATGTATGTCACTTGATACTGGGAAAGACCGTGGCAATTCGAATGCCGGAGCTATGTACGACGGTCGTGCCAACTTTATTCACTGGATGGAAAGGGCAAGATTAAGGTTACTACCTAGTTCGGCGGAAAAGAATTCTACTAGATTGATACCCAAGGGAGCTGCAATGGCATGTGGTCAGTGGAGCCAAGCTTCTACAATTGTTGGCGTCAGGAAGAACCAATGTTCGCATTGGTTATGGCTGAACTCAATGGTATCGCAAGCCAAAGTAGTATGCAGGAAGATATAGTGAAGTTATTGAGTCAGTACAAAGCCATCTCCCCAGGATGAATTACCGGCTAAGCTTCCACCACTCAGAAATATACAACATCAAATTGACTTGGTGCCGGGTGCTAGTCTGCCAAGTTTATCACACTACCGCCTTAATCCGAAGGAACAAGAGGTACTCCAGGAAATCGTGGACCAGCTCCTTGACAAACAATTAATCTAGCCGAGTGTCAGTCCTTGTGCAGTCCCGGCATTATTAGTCCCAAAGAAAGATGGAAACTGGCGTATGTGCGTAGACAGTAGAGCTATTAACAAGATAACCATTAAGTACCGTTTTCCGGTACCACGCATTGAAGAGCTAATAGATCAACTGACCGGATCCTCAATTTTCTCTAAGTTGGATCTAGAAGTGGATATCACCAGATCAGGATCTGTCCCGGAGACGAGTGGAAGACGGCTTTAAAACACCTCATGGTCTCTATGAATGGAAGTCATGCCCTTTGGGCTTTGTAATCTCCATCCACATTCATGCGCATGATGAATGAAGTGCTCAAATCTTTCTTGGGAAAATTTGTATCGTCTACTTCGACGACATATTGGTATTCAGTGTATCATGGAAGCTTCATTTACAACATTTGAAACACTCCAGACACAGCAACTATTGATCAATCGTTCCAAGTGTGATCTGGGAGTGCCACGGGTTAGTTTTCTCGGTTTTGTCATTTCAGCAGAGGGAGTATCTATGAATCCCATGAAGGTTGAAGCAATTAACTGGCCCGCACCCCAGTCGTTCTTCGAAGTTCGCAGTTTTCATGGGTTGGCTAACTTTTACCGCAAATTCATAAAAAACTTCAGTGTGATTATGGCTCCAATCACAGAAGGATTGAAGGCTAAGGTGTTCGGCTGGTCTGCCGCTCAGCAACAAAGCTTTGAAGCTATCAAAGAGGCCATATGTTCAGCACCAGTTCCAGCGCTTCCTAACTTTGATAAGTTGTTTGAAGTTAGTACCGATGCCTCGGCCATCGGCATCGGGGCTGTGCTCACTCAAGGAACTAGACCGGTTGCTTTCTTTAGTGAAAAATTATGCGCATCACGACAGAAGTGGGCCGCCTATGAACAAGAGCTCTACTCCATTGTTCGGGCATTGAAACAGTGGGAACAATACTTGTTACACCAAGAGTTCATTCTATGTAGTGATAATAAAGCGCTACAGTTCATAAATAGCCAGAAAAACATCAATAGAATGCACTCTAGATGGATAATGTTCCTCCAAAGATTTGTGTTCACGATTAAACACAAACCTGGTAATGAGAATCGGGTGGCTGATGCACTAAGCCGAAAGCGAAATCTCCTGACTACCTTGCAAACTGAGATCACGGGATTAGTATGTTTAAAAGACTTATATGAAGGGGATCCTGATTTCGGCGCTATCTGGAAACAATGTAAGACACAGGCCACAGTTGATGATTTTGCCATCAGACATGGGTACTTGTTTAAACAGAATGTTCTGTGCGTTCCAGTCTCCTCGTGGCGGCAACAATTGATTCGAGAAACTCACGGAGGCGCGTTGGCAGCTCATGTTGGCCGAGAAAACACTCTCCGTCAACTCCAGGTCCGGTTCTATTGGCCAAGACTCCGGCGAGATGTGTACCGAATAGTAGACAGCTGCCCTGTATGTCAAATGTATAAAGGGGGATCTCAGAATACCGGACTGTACCTGCCTCTTCCAGTACATGAATCAATTTGGGAAGACCTTAGTCTCGACTTTGTACTCGGATTGCCACATACTAAGCGGGGCAATGATTCCATCATGGTGGTTGTCAATAGATTTTCCAAGATGGCGCATTTCATTTCATGCAAGAAAACAGCTAATGCTGTGCTGTGATGGTCGCTCACCATTTCTTTGATGAAATTGTCCGCTTACATGGAGTTCCCCGGAGTCTCACCTCCGATCGAGACGTTAAGTTCATAAGTCACTTCTGGCGAGAATTATGGAAGCGGTTGGGCACCGACATCCGTTTGAGCTCCGCTTATCATCCTCAAACGGATGGTCAGACCGAAGTCGTCAACAGAACGCTGGGAAGTTTACTTCGGTGTTTAGTCCAGGAGCATCCACGCCAATGGGAAGTGGTCCTCAGCTGGGCCGAATTCGCATACAATGCTATGACCAATAGGTCCACAGGTAAATCGCCTTTTAGCATTGTTTAACAAATATTATTGCAGAAAATGCTATCTTCATTATAGAAACAGCAACCAATAAATATATTACAGAGATAGTAAGCCAATAACTTAAAAGATACAAATTACTTCAATAATTTATTTTGCAATACTAACAATGCTTTCCAAAGCTGAGAATTTATCATTGGTGTCATATCCATCATATAAGTGAATAGTTAAAATGCTCTCTCTCTCTCTCTCTCTTTTCAAGAAACTATAGGTTTGTTTGTGGAAGCTTAACGAAAATTCTCTAATTTTTTTGCCATATGTAAAATATTTTTCAATAATGTAGTCATATTTTTACAAAATTATGGCAAAATTTTTTTATTATATTAGTACCAATCACATTTCTTTAAAAAAATTAATAATGATATTTTAAAATTTGACATTATATTATTTTAAGTTGTAATTCTAAAAAAAAAATTAAATTAAATTAATTTGTAGTCACATTAAAAAAATATATAATTAAGGTCCAAAGTTGTTGCATGAGTCCAAGCTAAAAAACCAAAAACAAACATAAAGGAGGTATTGCTAAGGATTTCATAAAAGATGCCAGTATACTAAGGGCTGAGATGGTTCAGTTAGTGATCAACGGCTGGAGTTGCTGCTGCAGGGAATATGCCGCTGAGATGCAGCCGTACAGGGAAGTGGCGACCGAGCTGTGCAGAGGTGAGCGGCTTGCGTACGCTCACCACATTGAGACATTTGCGTACCATTAAGTGTTATGATATATCACAAACTCTTGGGCGGTCTCCAATTGAAAAATCCAATTTTTATTTTAAAATGCATTAATATTCTAAAATATAGTAATTCGTCTTCAACTGAACTCTATTTTTTAACGTCAAAAAAAGAATATTCCGTATATATTATTTATCATATTTTTTTCTAATCAGTATTGACGTCGCACTGTTCACCGTCACGCGAATAATGTTTTATTTGGCGATCGAATGGAGTAAACCAGTGACACCAAACGAGTGTTAGGTGTTCGTCTTGAGAATATGGAGGATGTAGCCGGGCTGACCTTTTGTTTAAAATATGGAGCTTTCTTATTGCTTTATAAAGTAAAATTTTGGTACTTTTATTGGCTTATTTGCTACTAGCTAAGCCTTCGTTTGGGACGGTTTTCTTACTGCTTTATAAAGCAGTTTTAAAGTATAAAAATTAAAATTTGGACCGTTTATTGGGCATTTGAATGTCTTAATGATATTAGAATTCGACGATCTTTGGCTTGTTGGATTCGTCTCGTCGAGCCGCTCGATTCGATTATAACCATGTCACGTTTGGGAACCGTTTGATTATCCAAATTATGGTTTGAACCTTCCAAATGTGCTTCGGGTATTTGATTTGGACTCATTTGGGCTCGGATTAGGTTGAATTTGGTGTTGTTGGGTTTTTCTTTCTGAGACGTTCAGTTCGACAGTAAGTTTACTAAAATCAGAGTTGAAAAGATCCTGAATTTAAATTTTGAAATTTCCAACTTAATTTTGCTTCGAGATTTAAGCCTGGTCAAGATAAATTTTTTTACTGGTATATCAAATCTACAAGAAAATGATGATTGAAACTAATCTTGATAAGCAAAAAAAACTTTATGCAATTGAGAGTAGGCCAAATTTATTAAGATGACTTAATTATAATATGGTGAAACACTAATTAAATATTTCTATAATACAAAAATTAGACTAAGAAGTATATAATAATAATAATAATAATAATAATAATAATAATAATATTCTTGCAAGGCTGTCATTGGCAACCTGAGAACCTTAAAAGAACATTTCTTTGAGTGAATTGAGTTCTTTAACAACAATAGCCATCCCCAATCTCTGAGTTGGTGATTCACTCGAGCAAGTGAGTCCAATCTGGAATAATGAAACCAAGCACTCTTTCATACGAGCTCCAATGCTCCTGTTATTAGTTTCATCTTCTACTTCTCGCATGATCTGCGGATCTAAAATGGTACTAATCATTTCTGGAAATGCATTCTCCACATATTTGTGTAGGTTCAAACCTTGTACAAATGAATCATCAGTAGGTCTTTTGCCTGTCAGAATCTCCAGTAGAAGAACACCATAGCTGTACACATCTCCTAGCCTGGAGATTTGGTTTCCCATTCCATATTCTGCAAATGTTGAGAGAGTCTTACAACAGTTCATTTTATTAATTCTAAGTATTCTACAAAGCTTTAAGAGAATGTGATATTTTACCTGGTGCAACATATCCAATGGATCCTTGAAGCCTCATCAAGCTTGTTGAGTTAAATGATGAATCTGTAGAGAAGCCTGAAGAAATGATCCTCGCCAAGCCAAAGTCACTGACAATGGCTGTCATGTCACTGTTCAGAAGAATGTTGCTTGGCTTTAGGTCGCAATGAACAATGGGAGGAACACAATTATCATGAAGATACTCCAGTGCTGAGGCCACATCTATGACTATGTTCAATCTCTGATGTAAACTCAACCTTCTAGACTTAAGAAACTGGTCTTCTGTTTTTGGGTGTAGCCAATCCTCTAAGCTCCCATTAGGCATGTATGCAAAGACAAGAGCCTTGAATTCATTACCATTGGAATCTAGACTTAAACATAAAGTCTCAATCTTTAGAAGATTTCTATGACGAACATTTCTCAAGACTTGGCATTCAGTGATGAAGCTCCTCAAGGCTCCTCTTTGGTGGAGGTTAAATACCTTAATAGCAACATCATTTTCTCCATGACGCATCTTTAGTTTGTACACATAACCAAAACTTCCACTTCCAATCAAGTTTTCATTAGAAAATCCATTGGTTGCATTGAAGATTTCATCATATGTAATTGAAGAATCAAGCGATTTTGATATGGGTAATGTAATGGTCATCTTCTTTAATCTGCATATAATGCAAAATGCACACAGAGATATGATCACAATAACTGCAATTGGAATTGGGAGTATCATTTTAAGTTTTTTAAAACTTTTTCCTCCTGAGCATGATTGCAGATGTAAGATTGGATTACCACCACAAAGCCTCGGATTGCCAGCTACAGATATGACAGTTGCATTGGTGAAAATACCATCCTCTGGGACTTCGCCCTCAAAACTATTGAATGATAAGTTTAGATAATGCAAGTAACTGAACTTTTCCAAGAATTCTGGAACTTGCCCAGATAAATTGTTGTGAGAAAGATCAAGCTCTATCAAGGCATTTAGAAGTTTGAATGTTTTGGGAATAATACCTTGGAAGAAGTTCATCTCCATTTTTAAGTATTGCAACATTGAACAATCACCAAGAGTTGCTGGGATTTCTCCCGACAACTGGTTATATGATACATTCAAGGCCACAAGATTATGCAAGCTGCTAACTTGGAATGGCAAAGGTCCACTCAAAGAATTGTGTGAGAGATCTAAAAACCTTGTGAGAGAGGATAGGCTGATAACTTCTATAGGAATGCTTCCATTTAATGCATTATTGGAAAGGTTTAGCTCTTGTAGGTATTTCCAATTCGATCCTAAAGTTGATGGTATGCTACCACTCAGTTGATTGTCTTGCATGTACAAGTCATTTAGCTGAGTTAACTTGCCAATAGATAATGGAATTTGTCCTGTTAGCTTGTTTCCAGATAAATCAAGCAAGTTCAATTTCAAAAGATTACCAATGGTGGATGGAATGCTTCCCGCAAATAAGTTTTCATTCATGAAAAGAACAATTAGACCAACAAGATTACCTATCTCAGCGGGAATCATACCAGATATTTGGTTAGCTCCTAAATATAGAGATTCAAGTTTCATGGATAAGTTACCAATCGACACCGGTAATTCACCTTGCAACTTATTTTTTTGAAGAATTAGTGCGTTCAAAAGAGTGCAATTTGTGAAAGATGAGATGATACTCATGTCTTTTGATTGTAATTGATTCCATCCAACATCTAGTTGAGTCATATTTGTAAGGCCTCCCAGACAGGAAGGTATCATCCCACTAAAAAAATTACCAGCTAGATCAAGAATTTGAAGTCTAGAAGCATTACATAATGAATGAGGAATGGATCCATTAAAATTGTTTTCTTGCAAGTCTAAAATTTGAAGCATTGGGAGTCCTAAGCCCATGGTCGGCAAAAGCATTCCAGAGAGATTATTTTCTGCCATGGCAATGTAAGTGATGGATGACAGGTTATAGAAAGAAGAAGGAAACTTACCAGACAATTTGTTTGTAGGTATGTATAGCTCCATTAATCCAGATAAACTGCCTAAGCTTTCTGGAATGCTTCCTTCCAACTTATTCTGAGCAAGATAGAGGTAACTAAGGGAGGATAGATTTCCCAATGAGGGAGGTATATCTCCTGAGAGTTGGTTCTCTGATAGCTCAAGAAAACCAAGTATTGAGGAAGATTTCAGAAAAGGTGGGATTTTTCCAGTCAAGCCATTTTTTCTAAGGCTCAAATAGAAAAGTGTTGAGTTATTGAGTAATGAAGGGGGGATATTTTGTGACAGATTATTGGAAGACAGATCAATAGTTTTGATATTCTTTCCTGTGGCTAACATGGGAGGGATGCTTCCTTCAAGATTGTTGCTTGAAAGATCAAGATAGTAGAGACTCGAGAAAACACCTATTGAAGCTGGGATGCTTCCGCTGAGATGGTTATTGGAAAGATCAAGAAATAAAAGCGCTGAATTGTTCATAAGAAACTCCGGAATAGTTCCATACAAGTGATTTGCAGAAAGATTTACATAGGTTAGCGAAGTACTATTGCCGAGCAATGGAGATATCCCATCAGTAAGTTTGTTATCGCCAAGAATCAAGGTATTGAGCATTGGAAGGGAGCTGAAACCGTCAGGAATTTCTCCTTCAAAAGAATTCTTTGTCAGGTCAAGATTTTCTAGACGAGATAATCTCCCAAGCTCCTGTGGTATGCTTCCATGAAATTGATTATATGAAAGAATGAGATGACTCAGGAAGGTGATGTTGGAGATAGAGGGAGATAAAGGGCCTTCAAGTTGTAGTGCGTGGAGCTCTAAAGCTGTTACACGCCTTGGAGGTTTCAGTCCACAAGTGACTCCCTTCCACTCGCAGGGATCAAGAGAAGCATTGCTCCAGGAACTCAAGGCTCCAAGTGGATCAGAGATGGCAGATTTGAAAGCAAGCAGTGCAAGCTGGTCAGTTCTTGTGCTTCCTGAGGTTGAAACATTTGCAGTTTTTCCTGCGTGAAAGCAGATAAAAACAACTGTGATTCCCAAGGAAAAAATTGAATGCTGGAGAGAGGAAAAACCCATTTTGGATTGATCAGAATTTGTTGAACAACATTGTGCTTTCTGTGATCAATAATCGCTGATTAGGAGATATTTATTTACTTTCATATTTCATCTTGGAGGAGCGGAGTCAAAGTCTTCCATTATTTATATACACAATTCAATTTTGTATAATTGAGAAAATAAATTTGAATAGTCGATATTTATTTCCTTAGATTCCATGTTGGAGTAGCGTAGTCAAAGTCTTTCTTTATTGTGTATACAATTGGATTTGTGTAATTGAGAAGCCTATTTGAACAATCTTCAGCTTTATTATGATTTGAATTTTGAAACTCTTTACGACGAATATTTATTTGCTTTTACACTCTTTACGACGAACTTTTATTAGGTCCGGTGTAAAGACGTAGAGGAAAGTCCGGTCGGAGGCAAAATCCCGCCAAAAAACTCGGTATTTGCTCGGTATTGCTAGGTATTAGTTGATAATAACGAGGAATACCGCTCTGTGAAGACCAATAACGAGTTATACCGAGCAATATCGAGTTGTACCGAGTTTTTTTCTAGGAAAAACTCGGTACAACTTTTGTATAACTCGGTATAGCTCGGTATAACTCGGTATTGGGTCTTCACGTGATGGTATTTCTCGTTATTGTTTGGTATTGCTCGGTATTTGCTCAGTATTTCTCGTTTTTTGGCACGATTTGGCCTCCAACCGGCGTTCCTCTACATCCGGTAGGAGGACGTAATAATTGTTCACAACACGACGGAGTCGACTCAAAAGTTCTTTTTTGTTATTAAAGCTTGGTTTGATTTTTTTTACAGTTTTTTAAAATAATTTTTTATTATAAAAATTAAAATTAGTTAAAGTCGTTCATCAAATGGGCTATTTATGCTGACTCAAACTTATTGAGTCATGTGACAGTCGCCGAACTGATGGACGACTTATTTTAAAAAAAATGACTATTGTAAGTTGCTCCTTAAACGTACGACTTACTATAGTAAATTTTTAAAAAAATAATTTAAAAATAAAGTAAGTAGAAAACATATTTAATCGGTATTGCTCAAGATAGCTCGAAATAACTCGGTATTGGGTCTTCACATGATGTTATTCCTCATTATTATTCGATATTGCTCGGTGTTTACTCGGTACAACTCGGTATTTGGCGGGAATTTGCCTCCGACCGAACGTTCCTCTACGTCCGGTCGGAGGACGTAATAATTGTTCGTTCATTGGAGGGAAGGCATTGACTTGATATAACAGATATACATCATATAGAATGCATTACATGGTCGAAATTGGAAGAATCAGTATTGATATGTTTGTTTAGTCGACATGACCATAGTCAGCGGGCGACAGAGGTTGGAAAGATTATAGTCTGGTGACGGTGGTCGGAAGGACCATTGACGAGGGAGGTTGGAATGACTGTAGTTAGCGGGAGACAGGGGTCAGAAAGATCGTTGTCTAGTAATGGTGATCAGAAGGATAGTAGTAGGCGACGGAGGTTGGAAGGATAATAGTCAGTAGGAACTAAGGGTCAGAAAGATCATTGTCTGGCGATGGAGGTCGGAAAGATTGTAGTTGGTAACGGAGGTCGGAAGGACTGTTGTTGGTTCAGAAAGACCGTTATTTGGCGATGACGGTCGGAAGGACCGTAGTAGGCAATGAGGCCGGAAGGACCGTAGTTGGCAGGAGACAAGGGAGATCGTTTCTTGGCGATGGAGGTCAGAAGGGCCGTAGTTGGCAACATAGGTTAGAAAGACCGTACGTGGTAGGGGACAAGTGTCAGAAAGATCGTTTGCTAGCGATGGAGGTTGGAAGGGCTATAAAAGGCGACAGAGGATGGAAGGACCGTAGTTGGCAAGAGATAATGGTAAAAAAGATCGTTGTCTAGCGATGTAGGTCAGAAGGATTGTAATAGGCGACAGAGGTCGAAAGGACTATAGTCGGTAGGAGATAGGTTGTCTAGTGATGAAGGTCGAAAGGATCGTAGTAGGCGACATAGATCAGAAGGATCGTAATCGGTAAGAGATAGGGGTCAGAAAGATTATTATCTTGTGATGGAGGTCGGAAGGATCGTAGTAGGCGACAGAGGTCGAAAGGACCATAGTCGGCATGAGACATGGGTCAAAAAAGCTTATCTTGCGAAGTTGGTCGGAAGGACTGTAGTAGGAAATATAGGTCGGAAGGACAAAAGTTGGTAGTAGACAATGGTCAGAAAGACCATTATTTTGTGATGGAGGTCGGAAGGACTGTTATAGACGACGGAGGTCAGAAGGACCAAAGTCGATAGAAGATAGGGTCATAAAGATCGTAGTCGTAAGGCAGAGGTTTGGTTGAAGTCCAGGAATTATTCTGTGGTCTGGTGGAACTCCAACTTCTATCGGTGGTCTGACAAAAGTTTGAGCATCAGTCGGTGGTCCGACGGTGATTTGGTGGTGGTCTGGCGGTGATTTGGTGGAACTCCGGCGTCGGGCGATGGTATAGTGGTGGTCTGGGGTTAGGCGGTGGTCCTAATGGAAGTCTGGTGTCAGGCGGTGATCCGACGGAAGTCCGACGTTAGGCAGTGGTCCGATGGAACTCTTGCATCAAGTGATGGTATGACGGAACTCTAGCATCACGTGGTGATCCAACAGAACTCCGACGTCAGGTGGTGGTCTGACATAACTCCAACATCCGGTGGTGGTCCTGAGGAATTATGGGTGGAAGTCTAGCGGCGGTTGATGGCCGTGTGGAAGTCTGACAACGGCCAGCGTCCGGACAGTAGTCTGATGGAAATCGGACTGAAGTCCACCGGTGGTTGGTGACCAGGTGGTGGTACGACGTTGATTGGGCTGAAGTCCGTCGGCGGCCAGGCGGTGGTTTAATCACGGTCAGACTGAAGTCTGGCAGCGGTCGGCAGCTGGACGGTGGTTTGACGGCTGTCGGGTTGAAGTTCGACGGAGGTCAACAGCCGGGTGGTGGACTGACGGCTGTTGGGCTGAAGTCTGGCAGCGGTTGGCAGCCGGGTAGGTATATACACCGATCAACAGTCTTTTCGTTAAATCCAAAGGACATGATAGTATTATTAAACTTAAGATACAATTGTATTGAAGCTTGTTTAAGTCCGTAAATTAATTTATTTAATTTGCATACCATGTGCTTCTTTCCCTTAATTAATAACCTCAGGTTGTTCCATATACACCTCATCATCTAAATTCCAATTTAGAAAAGTAGTTTTTATATTCATTTGGTGTAATTCCAAATTAAAATGAGCCACCAAAGCCACTATGATCCTAAGAGAGTCATTTTTTTTATACTGGAAAGAATGTCTCTTTGTAATCAATAACTTCTTTTTGAGTGAAACCTTTTGCAACAAGCCTAGCTTTATGTTGTTCAATATAACCATTGCAATCTCCTTTGGGCTTAAAGATCCATTTACACCTGACTATCTTAAAACCTTCATGTAAATCAATGACATCCCAAACTTTATTTTGTTCCATTAATTTCAACTCATCATTTATAGCATTGACCCATTTTTTAGAATTACTACTTTCAATGGCTTGTGAAAAATGAAATTGGATCTTTACTTGTTCCTAAATCATAATCAGATTCTTGTAAATATACCAAATAATCATATGAAATAGTTGATCTCTTTTCTCTTTTAGATCTTCTTAATGCCATTTCTTGTGATTGTTATATAACTGGTTTATTGGTGACATTCTCATTATAGAGTGACTAATCACTAGATTATTGTTCAATATTATTATACTTTTTGACAACTGGAGAAACAACAATTTCATTTGATATTATGGGTTTTTAGACAGGCACCTGAACTTCTTCGATGATCATATCTCATAATATATATCACTCCCACAAACTTCACTATTCTCAAGAAATATGACATTTTACGTTTCAACAATTCTTCTATTATGATTAGGACAATAAAATATATACCATTTAGACTTCTATGGATAACTAATAAAGTATCCACTTACAATCTAATTTATTTTCATGTGGATTATAGATCCTAGCCTCTGCTGGACAACCCCAAATATGAAAATGTCTCAAACTCGATTTCCTTCCCATCCACAATTCAAAAGGAGTCTTTTGAACTACCTTATTAGGAGCTCGATTAAGCACATAAAAAACTATCTTAAGGGCTCCATCCACAATGAAATGGGTACTGAGGAGTTACTTAACATACTTCTAACCATTTTTATAAGAGTATTGTTGCATCTTTCAACTACATCATTCTATTGAGGTGTACTAGTCATTGTGTATTGTGCACAAACACCATGCTCTTCTATAAATTTAGCAAAATTTTCTGGATATTATTTTATTCCATCATACCTTCTGTAATACTCACCACCTCTATCAGATTGAATGATTTTTCACTTTTCTATCTAATTGTCGCTCAACTTCAACAATATATGCCTTTAAAACATTTATTGCTTGAGACTTTTCATGCAACAAATAAATATAACAATAATATGAAAAATCATCAATGAAAGTGATAAAGTATTTTTTGTCATCTAAATGACTATAAGACGAAAGGTCCACAAATATTAGTATGGGCAATCTCCGAAAGTTTTCCACTTATTGTAGCAACTTTCTTTGTATGTTTGGTTTGCTTACATTTAATTAAGTTTTTCATCAACTGATTTGTGGCGTTGTCATAGTGGGTTTGAGGACAAAACCTACTCAGGATACGTAACCCTAAAGTTCAAGATTGTACAACCTTTAAACCAGGTTGATGTAGTTGAATTAGAGATTTAAATTTGGTTAAATAATTAATAATCAATCAACATTAAAGTTTTACAATCCATTGAATCCGTTCATGGCGTTATCACAGTGAGCTCGAGGGTGAAACCTTCTTAGGACACGTAGCCCGGTAGCTCAAGGTAGTCCATTCTAAAAACTCTATCCTTGGAGTGCTTTTTATGTATTTAAGGGGTTGGTTGATTGATTTTGATAACCAAATACATGTTTTTAGAAGTTCTAATTAATTATTGAATTTTTGGAAATTTTGTAAATTATTTAATGCACTAAATTAAATGGTCAAATTTTAACTTTTTAAATTAAATTGAAATCTAGAGTTTTGATTTTTTTTTTAAAATAGTAGACCCTAAAATGTGTAATTAGACACTAAGTTTACTAGATTAAATTATGAATTTATGAAGTTTTAACTTA